AATACGTATATAATTTGTGTACAAACTGTTTAATAATCAAACTCTAGTCTATATTAATCTTATTAATATTTTAGAACCTCGCTTAGGAGCTAGAGATAGAAAACTATTTTATTGCAGTTTTTCAAGAACAAACATGCTTTTGAAATCTCCTTTTTATTGAAGCATTAGAGAAATAACTACAAGCGCGTCAAAATTCTATAATATTTTTGGTTAATTTTATTTGGTTATATTGAATATAACATACCTATAAGTTGTTATATACTTTATTCGGTTATTGAAATATTGTATTCTGTTGGGCGATCAACATATTGCAAGTACCTACGGACATAGATTATACAAAATATGGAACTGAAGGATAATTGTTGCATTTGCCGTGTCCCTATGAATAGAATTGTAGTAGCCGCAATTAAAGTGCTGCCGTGTAATCACATAATTCATCAAAAATTGTAGACTGTAGTGGTGAAAAGAAAATCATACAACAAAAAAACTGCACAAGAAAAGGAGAGGGTTGTCGAATGTATCAATCGGGGAAAAGAATGGGCTACTTTGGCACAAACTTTGGTTGTAAAGTATAAAACTGGATGCGAACGGGAGATGACGAAATGAAGAAGCAAGGTGGAATAAAACGCAAACTTTTGTCTCAAGACGAGATAGATATTGTCATCGCTTGGGTAGAGGCTAAATGCGACCGACCTTAAAATAAATTTAAATTAAAATTCCCCAAATTATTAATAAAAGCATTAGTAGTAGTTGCATTGCAAATTACCTGGATGGGCAGTTAATATCCTATAAAATGGCAGAGGCCATGAATTCGCTGGAAAATAAAGAAAAACGCGCTACATATGTATGTGTACTTTAAATTCATCCAGCACAAATTGTATGGATAGATGAAACCAATTTTAATTTGTTTTGCCGCCAAAGACATGGTCGCGCTTTGCAGAAACTTCCGGCATCCAGAGGGGCACATATTCATCTTATAGCCGCAATGTCTTCAGCCGGGATTGTAGCCTTAGAGAGAAGACGGGAGTATTGGCCAATGCATGGGTGCAAGCATTGTTGGATACTTAAGAAAATGTGGGCAATAACTTAGAAGACCTTGTCGCACCATTCTTTCCAATGCTGAATCCAATAGAGATAATTTGGTCTAAAGTGAAACTGTATGCAAAGACTCATATGCGAGTTCCCTTAAATTATTTTAATCCACCGTTAACGATTTATAACCTCAAAAGTACTGGTCATCGGTATTCAAGATCTTTTTTCCAAAGATATTATTTATTGACATCTTTAGCAAATCCAATAACTATAGTTATAGGTATAGAGGTCAGCAAACTCTATAATGAGTCACTCCTAAGAACCAGAAATATAATAGAAAGAGTATTTGTAATTTGGAAAAGAAGGTTTCCAGTGTTGGCATATGGCTTAAGATTAAAACTAGATACAGTTTTGTCCATTATTCCAGCTGCAGCTGAACTATATAATATTGCTAGAGACATGAATAAACCAGAGCCGCAATTGCCTGCTGATATTAATGCCATGAACTGGAGTACACTGTTGTTACTTATCCACAAGATCGAATTATGTTTTAAAATCAATTAATTCAAAAATATTTTGCGAATTTATAACTATATATGTATTTTTAAGCGAAAGAGAGCATTTATAGAGTTTAGCTTAAATAACTTAAAGGAGGTAAGCGTACTAACTTAATTGGAACGACTTTAGGAATGTAAACGTTAGTTTTTTATCAAACGTTACTTTTTTAATTTTCCAAAATTAATTAATAATTATAATTAGCACCACTTGACAAAAAAAGTATAGTGTTTCCTTTCAAACTTTGAACTCAGCACAAAAAGACTCACTTCTTAGCCTTATGACATAAATAACCATTTTTTAGAAATCCAAATCTTTACCCCATAGCCAGACTGTATTAAGTCGACTAATTTTTTGCCTACGTTTTTCCGTTCTTTCCAATGGTAAACAGAATTAAGTCCTGGCTTGCTATGTTTTTTATAGATCAAAATACTAAGTAAGCCCTACAGGGCTTAATCATGTTTACCATTGAAAAGAGGGGTAAAACGTAGGCAAAAAATATTTAACGTGAATCTGAGGTACAGTAATGTTTCAATTAAACCGATAAGGTTCGAATTACTTTTTAGTTTTTTAAATTATGTTATTGCATTGTTAACCTGTTCTGTTTGTGCTAAACTTATTGTTTTTGTATTGCGTAAACTTGATTTGTTTGTGTTTGAGTTTCAATTCAATTACTACTGTTGCACCCTGCATTGTTGCGATTTAATTATAATAATAATAAACTCATTGAAATATTTTTGGTTTTTTTTTCATAATAAAAAATAAATTTAAAATATAGTACGAAGGGTGAAAAATATTTTGGGGATTTAATGATAATTTTATTTTTTTTATAATTTTAATTTATTGGTATTTTTTACTGTATTTATTTAAATAAAAATTTAACATTTTACGAAATTTTATTGACCCTGTAAAGCACAAATATGAAAAATACCAAAAATCTACAAACTTTTAAGATTAGTGGAAACATTAAACATAAGTTTTTCTATGTAAAAAACTTTAGATGGAGTTTAAACCCCTTCATGCCCTTTAAAAAAAAATATTTTAAATTTATAACATTAACAAAAGGTTTCAAATAAATCAACAAAAAAAATTTAGTAAATTTTTCGTACTATAATTTAAAATTGTAATAAATATTTTTGGTTAAAATTAATGTATTTTCTTTTAATAAAAAAAATATAAATTTAAATAGAATTAAATATCTTTCCAAACCATCTAGCATCTATAATATAATTATAAGAATAAAAGTAATATTAAAATAAACGAAATAAAAACTTAAGACAAAACATTAAATAATTCTAAAGAAATTATCGTGCATTTTAACAACTTTTTCAACGAAATTCCCTCAATTACTAAACAAAAAATTCAAACAAAAGAGTGTCCAAATATTGACCATTGGATTCAAAGCTCCCTTTTTATGTATCCTGTCACAGAAACCGAAATAATTAAAATAGTTAAAACATTAAAGGTGTCGAATTCCTCGGGAATAGATAATATTAGTTCAAACCTCCTAAAAAATAGTATTGAGTACATATCAAAGCCTTTAGAAACTCTTTTTAATGAATCCTTACAATCTGGAATCTTCCCAGAGGTATTTAAGAAAGCTAAAATAATTCCTATATTTAAGAAAGGTTCAAGGCTGCTTGTTGAGAATTATCGCCCCATATCCTTACTATCAAACTTATCCATAATACTTGAAAGAATTGTCTCTAAAAGATTAATTGAATTTCTTATTAAACAAAAAGTCTTTACATCACAACAATTTGGCTTTAGACAGGGACTGTCAACTTGCGATGCTGTTGTACAATTTTTAAACGGTATTTATGAAAGAATGGACAGTGGTGAAAATACAGCTGGTCTTTTCTTAGACTTAAGCAAGGCATTTGATCTGGTAGATCATAGCATTCTATTAGACAAATTGCATAATTATGGAATAAGAGGACTAGCCCAGGGGTGGTTTAGAAGCTATTTGAGCAACAGAAGTCACATGGTAGAAGTAAACAAGTGTAGATCTAATTATTTGAATTCAAATATGGGTGTTCCCCAGGGATCAGTCCTGGGACCTCTACTGTTTATAATTTATATAAATGATCTTCCGAACTTTATAAATTCTGGCCAGATTGTAATGTTTGCTGATGACACAACACTACTGTGCTCAGGTGAATCTGAACCATCCCTCCAAAGTGGTTTATCGGGTGCAGTCTCCATGTTGGATACTTGGTTTGGTGGTAACAAATTATTAATAAACGCAGAAAAAACTGCTTTCATAAAATTTTCACTTCGGTCAAATGCAGACCACAGTTTATTGATTAAATATAATGATTTATCCATAAGGCAGGTTAGGTCCCACAAATTTCTTGGACTGGAAATAGATCAAATGTTAAATTGGAAAGCGCACATAGAGGTGGTTTGTAAAAAAATTTCCAGATTGTGCTACAGTTTAAGACAACTAAAAGCTTATGTTTGTTTATTTGTACTAAAAACCTTTTATTTTTCTCAAATTCACTCCATAATATCTTATGGTATAATGTGTTGGGGTACGGGAACGGATTGTTCCAGAGTCTTTGTCTTACAAAAACAAGCCATTAGAGCTATAGCAAACATAAGCTTCGGTGAATCTTGCAGACCCCATTTTAAAGCACTTAAAATCTTACCATTGCCATGTATATACATACAACAGATTCTTTTATACACACACAAAAATATTAATAAATTCAAATCCCTAAATGAACAGCACACCTACAATACTAGAAACTGTGATATTTTAGAAATTCCTAGGCATAACTTAACTAAATTTAAGAAATGTCCAAATTATCAATGTGTTTACTTATATAACAAACTACCAAAGAAGTTTAAAAACCTAGCTTTAAGTAAATTTAAGCACAACATTAAAGCCTTGCTACATAAACACTGTTTTTACAGTGTAGAAGAATATATCCATTGTACTGATTTAAATTTTTAATATGTATTGTAGTTTTTAGTTTTTACTTTTAATCCATACTGTATTGTAGTTTTTACTTTTAGTCCATACTTGGGTTATTTTTATCTGTAATTTTTACTTTACTTGTGTAATTTCTGATACTGTCCTATGTCCTGTAGATGTGATAAATTTTGGATTAATAAATTATTATTATTATTATTATTATTATTATTATTATTATTATTATTATTATTATTATTATTATTATTATTATTATTATTATTATTATTAACACTATCTTTAATATCAAATATAAAGAAAACAGGTATTTCTCTATAATCTTTGATAATATTCTTTGATAATATTGCTATTATTCGTGTGTTCGCGCGGCTACTACTTATCAAGTGACGTAATGCGCGGCACGATCGAAAACTCGTCTACTAAATATTTTATGTAGCACATAGTTATTTTCTGGAATAGAGATGTTAATACATACTTAGTGTTGGCTTCAGGTATAATATCGTCCATAACCACGTATATCATTGCTCCCGCTGCAAAAGACAGTGCATAAGGTAATGCGGGTTGTGCTAATCCCACAGCTAAAGCTCCCAATACTCCAAATATTGGTTCCACCATGCCACTTAATTGACCATACCTAGAAAATTAAAAAATCTTGAATATGAACAAATATTAAGATGAGTATTTTTGTTGCTTGAATTATAATATAACACTATTGTAGGGAGTACCGCTCTGGATATCGGAGTGATGACTCATCGCCGGTGAGTCATCGCTGGTGAGTCAGCGCTCGAACAATCGAGAGTGTGGAATGTTCCAGAAGACTTGGGCGCTGAATATATAAGGAACGGAGCAGCACAGAGCAGTCAGTTGAGCTTTGGTACTCGCGAATAAATAAATAAATATAAGTGCAAATAAATAAACTAGTAGTGATATAAATAATTAGTAGTTAAGTGTTTAATTAGTTTTATAGTGTTTTAAGTGTAGTTAAGTTATTAAAATAAATAATTTAGTTCGTTAATATACCAGTTCGTGTTTTAATTCACACTACGAACAGTAAAAACGTTACAATTGGTGTCAGAAGTGGGATTAGTGTGAAACTTCGCGAAAATGGTTTCGTTAATGGACTTAAAAGTGGCGGACCTTAAGCGGGAGCTAGAAGAAAGAGAATGTGAAACAACTGGAAAAAAGAATGTGTTGCAGCAGCGGCTTCAAGAAGCATTGGAACAAGAGGGTGAAAATCCAGATACGTATTTATTTAAAGGTTCGTGTGATATGCATTTATTGTTGCAAAATTTGAAAGGTGATTTAAAACAGAACATTCTGGAAAATTCTAAAGAACTAAAAGTCGATTTGCAACCGAAAATTTTGGAAAATTCTAACGAGTTGCAACAGAAAATGCTAGAAAATTCTAAGGATTTGAAAGTCGATTTGCAACAGAAAATGGTGGAAAATTCCAACAATTTAAAGGACAATTTACAACAGAAAATACTGGAAAATTCTAAAAATTTAAAAGAATATTTGGAACAAAAGATTCTAGATAATGTAAATGAATTAAAAGAGAACGTAAGGATAGAATTAGAAGAAAAAGTAGGACAGAAAGTTGACGATGTAAGGATGGAATTAAATAACGTAAGGATGGAATTGAATGACTTAAGGATGGAATTGGATGATAAATTGGAAGTCAAAATTAAAGAAATAAATAGTAAACTGACAGCTGTAAATCTACCCATGATGCTGGCGGAACCAGGAACAATGCTGGAGGGGAGCCGAGTTCGGATGAAACCACCTCAGTTCGATGGAAAAACTTCTTGGACCAACTACATCCGTCAGTTTGAGGCAGTAGCAAAAGCAAATGGCTGGCTACCAGAAGAGAAGCCTACAGCATTGACTCTTGCTTTACGCGGAGATGCAACCGACATCTTGCAGACACTTTCTCCCAACGAACAAGAAGATTACGAAGCGTTGGTGAAACATCTGGAACTGCGATATGGCCAGACACATTTGGAACATGTCTAACATTCCCAACTTAAGAACCGCTGCCAGAAATCAAACGAGACTTTGCAAGAATTCGAGGCTGATATTGCACGCTTGGTCCGGCTAGCACATCCAGCTACTCCAACGACCGTTATGGAACGATTAGCGGTTCAAGCCTTTTTGTATGGACTTCGGGACAACGAAACAAGACAGGCTCTGACGTTGGCTCGTCCGAGCCAACTGGTTGATGCATTGGCCCGAGCGTTGGAATTCGAGGCGGCAAAGCAGAGCTGCAGGAGCCATCATAGAATTAGGAGAGTCGAGGAAGAAAAAGAGGAGGAACCCAGTATAATTGAAGAAATCAGGCGAGTTCTTAAAGAGAATCTACCAGAAAAGAAGGAAATTCGGTGTTGGAGATGTGGAAAGCTCGGACATATACGAAGTCGTTGCAGAAAAAGCCAGGTGGCGCCGACTTTATTTAGAAAAATAAATAGGATTGAAGAAAAAGATGTGTGTATTCGCAGGACTACAATCGTGGATGATCATTGGCAATCTGCTGAGGTTCAACAAGACCAGGAAAGGGACCCGGATTTGAAGCTTATCATCGATTGGAAGAAGAACGACCGTAAACCAATGTGGCAGGAAGTCGCCCAATATTCGCCGAATGTGAAATCGTACTGGGCCCAATGGAATTCCATCATCTTAAGTGAGGGGCTTCTAAAGCGCGTTCTGGAGATGCCAGAAGGGGGGGAAGACCGGAAGCAGATAATAATCCCCAGAAACAGGATACCAGAAGTGCTGCAGGAAATCCATGATGGAACTACTGGAGGACATCTTGGGGTGACCAGGACGCTCGGAAGACTTAGGGAACGGTTTTATTGGGTCAACAGCCAACGAGATGTGAAGGAATGGTGCAAGAAGTGCGCCGTTTGCGCGGCAAGCAATGGACCCCAGAAGCGCCCAAAAGCCCCAATGCGACAGTACAATGTGGGCAGCCCATTTGAGAGAATTGCAATCGACGTGGCGGGTCCATTTCCGGAAACAGAATCTGTAAATAAATACATCATCGTTGTAATGGACTACTTTAGCAAGTGGGCGGAAGCGTACACCTTGCCAAACCAGGAAGCTGCCACAGTGGCCGATGCCCTTATTAAGGAGTGGATTTGTCGTTTTGGTGTCCCAATGGAAATGCATTCAGACCAAGGCAGGAACTTTGAATCTATATTGTTCCAGAATGTGTGTAAGATTCTTAACATTCGGAAGACGAGGACGACCGCATTACATCCGCAGTCTGATGGAATGGTGGAACGAATGAATCGAACGATAAACAGGTACCTTTCGAAGGTAGTCTCTAATCACCAAAGAGACTGGGACCGCTTCCTCCATCTGTTCCTGTTGGCGTACCGTTCTTCTATCCACGATACAACCGGCCAGACACCCGCTAGCATTGTTATGGGACGTGAACTTCGTCTACCTTGTGACCTGAGGTTTGGTTGCCTACCAGGGGAAGACATTGCTGGAGAAGATTACGTTAGCAATTTACGAAGGAAAATGAGCGACATTCACAGCCGAGTTCGCTTAAACATCCAGAGTGCCAGTGATAGAATGAAAGAGGCAAATGACATCAAGGCGGAAAATGGAGGATTTCAACCTGGAGACCTAGTTTGGTTATACAACCCTCAGCGCCGTCGTGGTTATTCACCGAAGTTGCAGACTTCTTGGGAGGGACCTTACGAAGTCATGGATCGAATAAATGACATCATCTACAGTATCAGGAAACAACCGATTGGCTCCTTACACTGGAAACAATGCTCAAATAGACGATGCTAGAGTAAGGAGGGTTAATCCGCCGGAAGACGAGTTACCTTTTGAAGACTTCATGTATTTATATTCGAGCGGTAAAAAAGCTCGGTATGGTGTCACTCGAGAAGAACAAAAAGATCTGTTCACGGTTTCGGCCGATTACTCCTTGGCTCACTGTGTGCAGAAGACCTAAGGATGTCCAGGGGAATAGCGGTTGTCTTTAAAAACAAGTTTGGACGGGTCGACGATTTATGAAGGCAGAATTCCAAAGTTGGAGAGGTGCTTGAAATTGTAGATAATGAGCAGATAGGCAACAGAAGTATCTTCTATCTGGTAACGAAGCAGCTCTCCCATCAGAAGCCAAACTACCGTGACGTATGGAATGCCTTAAATAAATTGAGGGATGCCCTTTTATCCAAGGACATCATGAACCTGGCGATACCAAAGATTGCTTGTGGACTTGACGGTTTGGACTGGAGAATAATAAGAAGTATGGTGGAAGTTATCTTTAGATTTAGTGGCATACACATTCTTGTCTGTTGCTACAACCCTAAAAGAACAACCGGAAGAAAGACCGTGGACTGCTACTTCTATAGGACGCCACATTGCAAGTTTGGATCTCTATGCAAATATCGCCATGGAGCTGAGGACCATTTTCGGGACGAAAATGTTTTAAGACAATGTAGCGAGTACCGCTCTGGATATCGGAGTGATGACTCATCGCCGGTGAGTCATCGCTGGTGAGTCAGCGCTCGAACAATCGAGAGAGTGGAGCTCGCTGGAATGTTCCAGCAGTCAGTTGAGCTTTGGTACTCGCGAAGAAATAAATAAATATAAGTGCAAATAAATAGACTCTTGTACAGTAGTGATATATAAATAATTAGTAGTTAAGTGTTTAGTTAGTTTTATAGTTTCTCAGTGTTTTAAGTGTAATTAAGTTATTAAATAAATAGTTTAGTTCGTTAATTAACCAGTGCGTGTTTTTATTCACACTACAAACAGTTAAAAACTTTACACTATTATTATATAATTTTACATAATGGGATATATAAAGTGTCTGGTGTTTGTATTTTGTATAAAATACTATTATTTTTCCATTTTTTGCAAATTACGGTAATATGTGCAGAAACCGAAATTTTTACATCAGCCATTCGTGAACAGTGTTTATAAAGAGAATTAGAATTGCAACATTTAAACTTTTCAACGTTTTTTTTATGTTAATTTATTTAAATAGGTTTTAATTACAATGAGTAGTCGGCAAAATGTTTTTTTTTAATAAAAATCTAAAACATTATGAATTTTATGTTAATTTTGTTTAATTTATTAATATTTAAGCTGGATTTATAGTTTTAAAGGTAACGGTAGAGGCAGCGGTAGAGGTAGCGGTAGAGGTTGCGGTAGTGGTATCAATTTATGCAATTTGTAGTTCAGAAAATAGCGGTAGAGGTAATGGCGGCGCATGCGTACTTTAATACAGATTGTAAAATTTGACAGCAAAAGGTTAAGTTTTCTACAAAAACGTGGATTGCGAGGACAATGCTGTGCTTCTGGGCCATATGGCGTTGTGCGAAATATTATATAATAAACCCTGCACAATATATTATGTTGTATTGCAGGGTTTCAAGTACCTAAGTTATGGGGGTGGTCATGTACGTCGCTATAAAACTAGGGAATTAAATCGGGAACGAGGTAAGAAAAGCCATTTCCAGTATTAACAAAAAATAAAACTGACTGATACACAAATGAGGGTGCCCATTTTTGACAATTTATCAAGTCTGGTTGCCCCTCGCATAAAAACTTAACTTACAAGGAGAGACTGCCAATTGAAAACTGCCGTGTGA